TACATGTGACTCCATCGCGAAAAATTATGATAAAGGAACATAAATATATACGTGTATATATATATATAACAGATATTTGTACATATGCAAGGCAAGTTCCTTTATACTTTTATAGTTTCTTCTACTACGCATGTGCAAATAGATGCGCGCGCACGCGGATGCAGCTCTCGCTCGCAGCCATGTCTCAAAATGAAAATTCTATTATTATCGCCCTTTTTCTATTTAGAGTATATTACGTGGTACAAGTATACAATTTGCATGCAGAGCTGGGCAATTATCTAAGGTATATAGAAAACCCACGCGCTTCTCATTCCGAAAAAAGTAAAAGCTTTGTAATAAGTGAAAACTCTCAACGACGACCCACGTGCGTATAAGTACGTAGTTAGGTTATGTTACTATGTTCAGACGTAACGTGTGTCTATGCAGAAAATTAACTATGGTGATTTCTCACGTTCCGTTGCTAATTGGATACGTAATTGATGTTATATAGGGTGCGTGCCGAATTACAGAGTGTGTCTTGGAATACAGAGTACATTGTAGTTCCTACATGAAAAGTCGACAATACGAGTGACGCGAGATGCCAACAAGGCGTCCATTCGTGCTTGAGAACTTCGCGCCACCTTTAAAGCGAACACCGTCAGGGTTCAGCGGAAGAAAATGAGGAAGTGACACGCGAACCATGTAAAATTAATAAATGCACCAAAGCGTTCTGTGCTTTTTATATTTATTTCCGACAATTCCCGTAGTGCATCCCGTGAGAATGGAATAAACGTCTGCGTCCCCGGTATTCGTGTAACTCAGTCTTTTTCTTTCCTTTTTATTTTATTTGACGCCCTTTCACGTTGACGTATCACATAATTTGTAGCATCTCCCTTGGCGTCGTCGGGACGCCTAAAAATTGCTTTTTACAAACACTCGAGTCCCTCTATCAGAGAGGAAACGGACAAAATAGCAGAAAAAAATGGAAAAAGCCATTCGCTAACCTTTTCGCGTTCGTTACGAATACCCGAGAGAGCAGTCGGATAAAAAGGAGATAAATTAGCGAGAAAAAAGATTGAAAAAAAAAAAAGTTAAGCAAAGAAGTCGCAATCAAGAATAAAACTAGATACCGGACAAGAGAGCAGGAATTGTTGAAGACAGTTCCTTAAGTTTTTTCTCCTTAATGAGTTTCCCATCCCTCATGCGTCCCAGTTAGTCGCGTCCCTGTATCCAATTCTCGGGATCAATGACCACACATTAGGGCTACTGTAGCTATTACAATTCTTTATAAACTTCGCATCGACGCGAACCCGAAGTCGTGCGAATTACAAGAACCGAACTGAACTTAGACGAACTGAAGACGAAAGTAGAACGGACCGAAATGATAATGTAAGGGTAAGGGACGGAAGATGTAAGAGTGAAAATGGGAGAAAGAGAGAGAACGAATAAAATAAGTAAAGGATAGTAAGTTCAACGAACCAACCCCAGCCGTTGTTGACGTAACCCAGGAGGAGATAGAAGTGCATTCAGCGAAAAACCGAGAGTAACACACGAACACTGACTTGATGCAAGTTGCATGCTTTGAAATTGATAAAAGATCTCACGTATGACGTATTCGTATTCGTTTTTGGTTTACGGTCTGTCCATATCGACAAGACCCCTTTATTATTGTTCTTTCTCATAATTCAAATGAATGATTGTATATCTTCAAGAAAAAAAAAAATTCGCCTATCTTTTTATAATTTTGTTCATTTTTTTTTTTGGTTTTTCTCGGCAATAAACGTCATCCTCGCAACGTGTCACTTCTGTCGCGTGTACCACATGTACATCTAATGATGTTGTATTATTACTGTACTATACAATAATTATTCTCACGCACATGTAAAAAGAAACAGCTCTACTATCATTAACATATTATTGTAACGCAACTTACGATGTTAACAATATCATTGGTATTTTTTTTTGTTCATCTTTTTTCTCTCATACTTAAACGTTAAGTCGCATCTGTCTCTTCTTCGTTTCGTTTGACTCGTGTTAATAAGTCTTGTAAAAAAATACTGCATTCTGGTTACACTGCGCGAATTTTTTTTTTTTATCACGACGTCGACTCCCGATTCTTCTGTATTGTCTTTAGTGCCTTTATTTTTTACTTTTAATATCAGTCTTTGACGGTTGATACTCTTCGGATTTTCCTTGTCTTTTTTTTCTCTTTAAAGTCTTTGTACGCTTCACACACACACGCGCGCACACACACATTATATGTATATAATATGCATTCTATCTGAGAGGTATTTTTGTTTTTGCGATAATTTTTTTCTTCATTCTTTTTTAATCTAAACGTGCGACCTCGCAAAATGAGGATCCGCGGTCTGTTTTATTGTTCATATAAAAATGAGATATTTGGCGTAACGTCTTCGTTCTTTTTCGAGAGAAATGAAGAATTCGGTTAGTTTACCGGCTCGTCTCTCCGTTTTATGAATACAGGTACTGTGAGCGATATTGTAAAATATTGTCAATCATGACGAATTCGCGGATACTCGAATTCGCGCGGCCACGACGCAATCAATTGACAGTGTCACAATTTTTAATTGAAAAGAGAATGCGAGTGGCGTTTCGTAATGGCGCCCAAAATAAAATGCAAGACAAGTGACGTATACACGCAGTGTCTCTTTTCTGTCTGACGTATACATAGAGATTATCTAATCTGACATCTATATCCGTAATAATAAAAATTCTCTCACTAGAAAATGCTACCCTGTATCGATCGGCCGAAAAAAAAAGGTCGGCCATATTGGAGAACCAAAAAGAGTCGAAAACTAAAAAATGTTTAATTACTAATTATTATCAGTATCACGATTGGAACAATGGCCCGAGGACGTAACGTAAAATTCATTCCTTGTTATCGGGCCATACTATCCGTGGAACGCTTTGAAGTAACAGAAAGGAAAGACGAAGATAGTAATATGTGGAAAAGAGTAAGTTGTGGGGGAAAGAATAATTATACATAATAATAAAGGAATGAAAATGAAAAGAAAAATTGGAAATAGAAACGTTACAACGAGATAAATCGGGGAATATACGTAAAAAAATATACTAAAAAATGACAATACTATTTGATACCCTGTAGTCGTTTCCTTAATACTTAAAAAATTAAATCAAAATGAAAAAAAAAATCATACTTAGTGCCGCCAGCGCGTCGTTATTTGTATCTTTATCCACGCGTCAGTTTCCTTTGCCGTGATGCCTCAGATCGTCTTTGAAAAATCATTTTTAAACCATCATTCGCAAAATTCACTTAGACGATTATCTACTACCCTGTAAATCTCATCTTGAATCTGAACGTGAATTCGATAATAAAGGAGACTGCGGATCTCAGCGGAAATCGAACGAATAGCTGCTATGTGATTTAAGTCTTTTCAGTGGTGTATATATGTATACCCTATATGTGTATATATACCCTAGGGGTACAGTCTCTTGAAAATGTCACAAGACGCTTACTATCCTGAAATACTGATTTCGGCAAGTCAAAAATTCGTTACATTTAGAAAATCTTGGAAAGCCGAAAATATTGAGGCGGCAAATGATTCATCCTCATCATTGCTATAACGCAAGGGATGACAATTTGTTAAACAATGACGTATGTCATATATATAAATATTTTTGACAATTCAAGTCATTATGAATCGTATAAAAAATTATCGTATAAGAAACGTATCGTATAATCGTATAAGAAATTGCGAAAGTTTTATTTTCCGTTAAAAAAAAATCTAAAAAGCAGATTATTCGTGTTTATCATATTCGCATAATAATTTCTTGAGTTATCTCAACGTAGTAGCGAACGGTATAAAAATTGTAATTCAAAGAAAAAAAAAATAAAATAGATGAGGCATTCACGGCGCAAGGTGTGCGTCAACGGCGACCTGATTATTTACTTTCGTTAAAATTGACTAAACCTAACCTTACCCTATTCCTATTTAAAACCCTGCCTTAATCCTAGAGACCCTAATAAAGGAAGGCTTGACACTCTGTTAAGATTAATGCTCTCTCTCTTCGGCCTAGCACTGACCTATAGGTTCTCATCACGCTAAACCTGTTTTTGCTTTTCCTTTTTAAGTAATCTCAAGCTCTCTTGCGTCAATGAAATTCTCACCAATCGGACTCAACGTAATCGACATTCAGTGTGAACGGATTCTCGCGAGAGAACAGAACGTGGATGGCAGTGATTAGAATAAATAAAAGTGGACCCACCTTGGCTGCAGAGAGTATATCAGCGAAACCTAAATTTCACCCGCGTCGAGGACCAATGCGCGTCAGTGTTAAGCCGGACTTGTATTTATAAAGTAGACGCCGACGCGAATGCTAAAATCCGTCATTGGAATCATCGAACAAAAAATTCCGGACAATTAATACATTTTTCCTAGCTTCGATTCCCGATTGATCAAAATAATACAAAAGCAATGTTTTTTTCATTGCTGTCTCATGATTGGCTTATTGGAGTATTTAGCTTTCGCGTCATATCCGCTTGTTACGGATATCGGATGAAAAATCGTAAAACTCGAGAAACATCGAGAGGGAGAGAGATAGACAGACAGATAGAGATATATATAGATATAGATGGAAAGATAAAAGATGGATATATATACGTAAGTATATATAAAAAGAGACAAATAGAGAAATAGGAAAAACGTTATCGTTAATCTCTATATATGGCATATAATCGGTTTTGCTTGGTCGTGGTATCATTTTTCGTTTTTTTTTCCTTTTTTTTTGTAGCGGCTCTGGGGTCGAGTACTTGAAAGTTCAAATGGATTTTCAAGTTTGTGTTTGCTTGTTTGGCTTTAAACGGTTATTGCGAGGTTGTACGGTCACGTTTTGATATTCTATCTTTTTTTTTGTTCTCGTTTCGAATCAGCAGCTTTTTTGAAATGTCGGAGACGCCTAGGAGAACCCGTGACAGTTCTCGCGTATTTCGGAGTAAAGAGTCAGGAGTGCCTCTTCAGGCACGTCGTGGATGCACCTACCCTCTGGCCACTGGACGCATACTGAAACATACGAAAAAAAAAAAATTAAAACCATTAGTAATTCTCGTTATGTTTTTTACGAATTTCTATTTTTTTTATTCCATCAAATTAAAACAAAGCATTTATGTGAATGGGATATCCATGTATTAACGTGTATGGGGGAAATAAAAGAAAATTCTGACATTTCATCAACAGCTCATTGGTACATGATGGGAAAAAAAAAATACAAACAACAACAACAATAATAATAAAGGCCAGCAATTCAGGCTTCTCAGTCGTACAGTAGCTTTCAGCCAGAAGCTTCCCATTTATTGCTGCTAATTCAGTTTCACGTATATTCGTACAACTTTTTTATGCAAACGATAGTCAATCAATAGAGTTCATCACGTGTGGACGGAACATTACGCGTGGGAAGTATAGCGAACAAAATGGAGAATAAGAGTTTAATGCACGTGCATACATATATACATAGTTCCATGGTGAAGTTTTTAACGAACTTTCGGAAAAATTCGATAAATAATCGATCGATCGTATAATATTGATTGATCACTCATGAAAAAATACACGTATGAAATTAACATGGGGTTAAATGAATAGTGCAAATTTTTATATTCACAAATAGAATTTTTAACATACACAGGGTTATACAAGGCATTCGCGTGGCCATTTTGGAGAACGAGTCGAAAGGGTGAGAAAGTAATTTTTGTTTAAAATTATTTTGACGTCTCTCTTGGTTCCGAGTGAATTGCAATTATTAGTCTAATCTAAAAGCATCTGGCGCGTCTTGGATAGTAAACGACTCAGAATAGTCTAACAAGCGGACTTGGCACGCCGGGCGTGAGCGTCGCGGCGTCGAATTACCACGAGGCTCCAGTGGTCGCCTCGCTTCTGGTTTAATTAATAAGCAATCTAATCGGGGGATGATTATAATTAGTATGTCATAACTGGCAATTAGGTATTTATTCCAACTGGATGGGGACGGTTAACGACCAGCTGGGATTAAGCGTGGCCGAAGTTATGACTGCGAAAAATTTCACTAGAGATTAGGTATACATATACACTTATGTAATACATAAGCCAGATATATACCTGTTTGTTTCTTATTTAAAAGTCACCTATAACGCCGAAACTAGGGTAGATTATATATATACACACACACAATTCGAGCGTCATAAAGAATCTGTAACGTACCTACTTAACCCAACCTAATTTACAGCCTTTGGGAAGGTTGCTGAGCAGTAAATTTTCGACCATGTAAATTTTCATTGGCTGTATGCATAGGGTGTATTGGTAAACAGTCCCTGAGTTAACCTTTGATCCTATGTCTGTAAAGGAGTAGTATAGGCAGCTCGAGAGCGCAACTTTAAGGCATTGGGGGGGTCCGTGTTACAAATTTATTAGGTTCCTATTCTTCCTGTCAGGGATAATGTATCTTAATGCTTGATAGATCTTATTCCTCTGGATTTCTATACGGAACCTCCCTTAAACATTATATATGTATATTATAGGTAGGTTCAACGTAGCGTATAAAATTTTACACGTAGCGAATCTTTTCAAGCTGCCATCTCTCACAGTTTACTACCTTCTTCCTTTTTTCGCCCTATCCTTAGACTGCCACCCTATACGAGCACAGCGGGGGGCGCATCACTGTTGTTTCCGTGTTACACGTTATATTCCAGAGACGTGGCAGACCCCGAAAATAGATCGTATCGTTGTAGCTAGGTTACTCAAAGGTCCAGAAAAGACTTTTTAGGAGGCTGAGAAGGGAGGAAAAATACGAAGAAAGTAAAGAAAGTGCGATGATGAAAATATGGCAAGGAAAGTAATGGCTCCTGTACACGAGCAGATTGCAAAGCTGGTGCGAGCGAATTTTTTTCATGAAAGAGAAGGGTGGGAAAAATAATGGGTTGGTACAAGGCCTACCCCTTAAGTAATATATATTATCGTGAGATGCCATTAAGCGATTCGGTAGCGTGCGCGCAAATCGTACGGTATGAATTCAATCATAGTGAGACAGACACGTCGTTATCCTAGAGATAAGGAAACGCTGAATTCGAAAAAAGAAAATGAAAAAAAGATAAGTCCCATGAAAATATTGTATAACGTCAGGTAGAACGAAAGAAGGGTTACCCGTTGGATTAATAGGTGCATCGCGTGATATTGGTTTTTATTTTTTTTGAAATCTAGCGCGTATCGATAAAATCAAAATTAATCCCCCAAGGGTCTACAAAATGGCGTGCACGTTCATACGCAATCCTCAGGGCTAATCATATCTCTTGAGAAAAACCTTTGACACTTTTGCGGGTTACACTATATATATATACATGTATATAGCAGCAGCACCCCTATATATAACAACCCTTCGTATATAAGGGATTGAGTAGGAAGTTTCGACATTTTCTCATAGATATCGGCCCGAATGACGTCGACGTATATTCGCGTCTTGCCTGGCGTCTTTTGCCAAGCCGTGTTATTAATTTTCTTTCCTACGTATTATATCGAATTTATGTGTCGCTAACTTTACTCTCGGCCACTTCTGGCTCTGGATGCTGTACGATGGACTTATATTAAAATCTGTAACTTTCGTTACTAGTGGGAGGGGGGTTGCTGATAGTTGCTTCGAAGGTATCGACTTGGTAAACTATCCTTGTAGAGGGAGGGGACTTTGATGTTGGCAATTTCTGTTACGAGAAGTCCCCTGAAACTTAGTACACATTATGAGGAATAGGAGTACGTGAGACGAGACGTTGCATTGAGATTCTAAGTTTGTCAGGTTATTGACGAGTGAGGTACAGTAGGGTGCAAAAATTATTGCGACATTCTGTAGGTGATACATAGTGAGACTATATTCTTTGACAGGTAAAACTTTCCTGTATTATACATACTGTATTTTTCATTATGGTAGGACACATTGTTTTTTACGTGTGAAACGGTAAAGAATTTTTAATTGTATCGATTTTAAGCTTGTCGAATGAGTGAGGCACAGTATTTTTACATAACTCGTACTATGCACACTATACTCTCTCTTGTTTGTTAACAGGCTAATATTTATGTAAGAAACAATTTCTCTAGGAAACATTTCTCTACTAAACTTTCACTCGGTGCAACAACGAACAGGCAAACAACGAATGCATCTCTGACAACTATCAACAGGCCAGCACAACAAGGCAGGCGAATGCAAGATGCGAAAGAAAAACAAGAAATCTGTGGAAAACAACAGAAACAATATTGGAAGAAACTTTTGTATCCGTTGTCCAGCACATTACCCGGAATACGATGCCTCCGAAATGAAAGAAAAATATGACACGTTCTCCCTTCTACTCTTTGGTTTCAACTAAAAGACAAATACGGCAAGGAATCACTTTTCTATTAAAAAAAAAAAAAAAAAAAAAAAAAAAATTTTT